ACACAGGGATCCCAGGACAGTTACTCAGGCTATTAATGTGATAGCATGGGTAGACACACATAATCCATGAGGAAAATACAGTTAATTCACTTTGAACGGCCGCTCCAGTAAGCGACCATCTCCCATTTAAATTTCCCATTTTGTTCAGTTTTCCATATAAACTCAGTAAAAAAACTTTCTTGTATTTAAGTGACCATCTCCCGTAAGCGGCCACTTTTTCCTGATCCCGAGGAGGTCACTTACGAGAGAGTTGACTGTAGGACTAAATAGTATTGATTAGATAGTAATCTAAGAAATCAGCATAATTTAGTACTATTTTTTTATGTTTAAGCTTCAAACGACACTGGGCTCCATAGTTCTGCCTGTCTATGGCAGTTGATGGTTACAGGACCTCGTGACACAACATTATATTTTTTGCGGATCCATCCCTGCCGATTGAGACTGGCTCAGTATTGAGTAGCATTGCTATATACACATTAATATTTGCAGACATGCATGTGATAGAGGACACAGATGAAAATATCTATGTATCCATGAAATTCTTGTCCATTCTGAATAATCTGAAATTTGCATGCTTGCTCTTTTAAGAACAACAACGAAACCAACAAATAAATAATAAAGATACAAACAAGACATGAGTGCAGTCCTGAGAGGATTTCTTTGCATTCCATATTTCTTTCTCCTCGCAGCACACAGGAAACCCAAAACAATATTTCCTAATAAGGAACGCAGATGGTAAGGAACGCCTGGTATTTTTCGACAGTTTGCTCCATTCAAAAAGCGGTTCTCAAATTTTATTGTGTAAAATTTGACAGATTTATCAAGTTTAACGAATAAATGTTGGTATAAATGATAACTAAAGTTTCAAGGTCAGGTTTTTGGATTGCTTGATCGTTTTAAGGTAAGTTAAACCGTACAGAATTTCAACAAAATTGAACAGCTTGTTCGTATTGAACATGTTTTGAAACAGTTTGAACTTTGGCATTTTTCAGTTCGACGCAGTTCCCATTCTAAATCCTTTGTATTGGGTCATTGAACTATCCTCAATGTAGATAGTCGATAACAGACATAAAAGGAAGCCAATAAAAATCGAGTGATTTGATGGTGAAGTTGAGTTTGCTCGGTTATGTTTGATTTTCGATCCGTCTCTGTCTCGGGATTATTCTTCTAGCCCCTTCACTTCAGAATTGGAACTACGATACTTTGAATAGCCAATAAAACCATGCATAGTACAGTTAGCTTTACACAAGGCTTTGTATTGATTAATATGGCAGTCTTGGGTGATTTGTACTAGCTGTGCATTAGCATGGCAACACTACTCTGCTCTTGACCATAGTTAATATTAACTATGTGTTGACAAATATGTTACATGTATATTTGAGTAATATTCTGGTATCACTTATCATTCTGTCAACGTRACTATATAAGCTTTTATGTTTATTTACAGATTGACAAGCCTTCTCACTTCTTCAATAATGTACAAGGAATTCTGCAGTATTGCTATACAGACGGATGACTTRGGCTGCAACAATGGCTGTACTTCAATTTACATTGACACAGAACCAKGTGCTGTCCAAACCAAACACCCTCCAGTTAATGTTCTAAACAAAAAACTGGAGAGAATTCCTCAACACGTCRAAATAGGAAGCAATGAGGGTAGATCAGTTCCTGGCAATARTAAAGAATCATGTGACACACCAAATACTTTTCCTGGGCAAAATGTAGAGTATGATTTGGTAAATGTTGAACATAGATTTGAATATAGTGTTAAATATGCTGAATTTTGTGACATTCCAAATGCCTCAGACCACAATGAAACTAAAGMAATGGCTACTGGTTCTGCCATATGCATTTCACCAGCATTACATGCACAACAATGCCAGCAAACTGAAGATGGCAGTAATGCTGAAAGCTATGAAGATGATAACTGTTGCCACAGAAGGGGATTAACAAGCAAAAGTCACTCTAAAAAGGAGCAAACYTACAACAAAATACACTCAAAAGGAGTTCAAGAGTCAAGTGTTTCAGAAGGAGAAAATGAATTTTGCAATGCACAAGAGCCAAATAGTGACACAAATTCATTGATACCAGTATGTGAATCTGATTTTGAGAAATCAAAAGCTATAACTGGAAATGCATGCAGTGAAGCTCAAGGGAAAAGTGAAGTAGATAAAAATAACCATGATACACATGATGAAGGACATCTTGTGGAGCAGGGAAGTTCTTCCCGGCATGCTGATAGCTTAGTGGTATATTCTCAGTCTGATACCAATAGCACTGRAACAAATACTAAAAGCCAGGACATCAACACTGACTCACCTCAGAGGAAGCCATCTTTGTCATGTTCTTTTTGTGGTAAAGAGTTTAGAGGCAGGTCCAAGCTTCTTCGTCATCTTAGAGTCCATACTGGTGAAAAACCATTTACATGTCTTCATTGCCCAAAGAAGTTTGGACAAAAGACACATTTAAACAATCATTTGAAAATACACAACAATGAAAAGTCCTTTCACTGCTCTTATTGTGAAAAGAAATTCAGAGACAAAACTTGTTTCAAATACCATCTTAAAACTCATACTGGAGACAATCTTTTTGAATGTCCACAATGTAAGAAAAGATATCCMAGACAATGTGACATGACAAGGCATTTGAAAGTRCACACAGGCGAGAGACCTTTTGGATGCTCACAGTGTGGAAGGAAGTTTACATATAAACATGATTTGAAAAGGCACCAACGTGTTCATACTGGAGAGAAGCTTTTTGGATGCTCAGATTGCAACAAAAGGTTTGCACGAAAAAGTGACCTAACAAACCATGAAAGAATTCATTCTGGTGAAAAACCTTTTAGCTGTCCACATTGTGACAAAAACTTTACTCAGAGGCAACACCTACGACAACACATTCGTGTCCACACTGGAGAAACACCACATGAGTGTGGTCATTGCGAAAAGAAGTTCAGTCAAAGAAGTGGGTTAACWGCGCACCTCAGAGTTCATTCTGGTGAAAAGCCGCACCAGTGCACTTACTGTGAGAGAAAATTTGCAGACAAGCGAACATTAAAAAAGCATGTTGAGATTCATGAATTGCACGCAGAGGTCAAGTCTTCTGAATGCTCACTGGTTCAAAGGAAAGCTGACAGTTAGTTGTCAATGATATTCAGGGATGTCAACCCCAGAGCTTTATATATCTGGAGAAATTGCCTCGATTATGTGTATGACGTCACACCATGTGAATGACGTCATCACAAATAACGTTGCATAATCAGTTTAATATATTTTTCATGCGCGAGTATACGTAAGCAACGCCTGTAGGTATTTCGTTCCGTATCGAAAGATCGAGGAAACRTGACATAATTCATTGAAGGTTTTCTTTGAAAATAAAAATCTACAATGATGGTTAGTAATTA